ACGGTAGTGTGTCTTGCAAGTCAACTAAAAAATCACCAACTATAGGTATACACGTGTTGACGGTACAGCCCAGCGCACCTGTGGTAGAGATCCTTGCCGCCACTCCCAACGGTAGTGTGTCTTGCAAGTCAACTCAAAAATCACCAACTATAGGTATACACGTGTTGACGGTACAGCCCAGCGCACCTGGGGTAGAGATCCTTGCCGCCACTCCCAACGGTAGTGTGTCTTGCAAGTCAACTCAAAAATCACCAACTATAGGTATACACGTGTTGACGGTACAGCCCAGCGCACCTGGGGTAGAGATCCTTGCCGCCACTCCCAACGGTAGTGTGTCTTGCAAGTCAACTAAAAAATCACCAACTATAGGTATACACGTGTTGACGGTACAGCCCAGCGCACCTGGGGTAGAGATCCTTGCCGCCACTCCCAACGGTAGTGTGTCTTGCAAGTCAACTAAAAAATCACCAACTATAGGTATACACGTGTTGATGGTACAGCCCAGCGCACCTGGGGTAGAGATCCTTGCCGCCACTCCCAACGGTAGTGTGTCTTGCAAGTCAACTCAAAAAGCACCAACTATAGGTATACACGTGTTGACGGTACAGCCCAGCGCACCTGGGGTAGAGATCCTTGCCGCCACTCCCAACGGTAGTGTGTCTTGCAAGTCAACTAAAAAATCACCAACTATAGGTATACACGTGTTGACGGTACAGCCCAGCGCACCTGGGGTAGAGATCCTTGCCGCCACTCCCAACGGTAGTGTGTCTTGCAAGTCAACTAAAAAATCACCAACTATAGGTATACACGTGTTGACGGTACAGCCCAGCGCACCTGGGGTAGAGATCCTTGCCGCCACTCCCAACGGTAGTGTGTCTTGCAAGTCAACTAAAAAATCACCAACTATAGGTATACACGTGTTGACGGTACAGCCCAGCGCACCTGGGGTAGAGATCCTTGCCGCCACTCCCAACGGTAGTGTGTCTTGCAAGTCAACTAAAAAATCACCAACTATAGGTATACACGTGTTGACGGTACAGCCCAGCGCACCTGTGGTAGAGATCCTTGCCGCCACTCCCAACGGTAGTGTGTCTTGCAAGTCAACTCAAAAATCACCAACTATAGGTATACACGTGTTGACGGTACAGCCCAGCGCACCTGGGGTAGAGATCCTTGCCGCCACTCCCAACGGTAGTGTGTCTTGCAAGTCAACTCAAAAATCAACAACTATAGGTATACACGTGTTGACGGTACAGCCCAGCGCACCTGGGGTAGAGATCCTTGCCGCCACTCCCAACGGTAGTGTGTCTTGCAAGTCAACTCAAAAAGCACCAACTATAGGTATACACGTGTTGACGGTACAGCCCAGCGCACCTGGGGTAGAGATCCTTGCCGCCACTCCCAACGGTAGTGTGTCTTGCAAGTCAACTCAAAAATCACCAACTATAGGTATACACGTGTTGACGGTACAGCCCAGCGCACCTGGGGTAGAGATCCTTGCCGCCACTCCCAACGGTAGTGTGTCTTGCAAGTCAACTCAAAAAGCACCAACTATAGGTATACACGTGTTGACGGTACAGCCCAGCGCACCTGGGGTAGAGATCCTTGCCGCCACTCCCAACGGTAGTGTGTCTTGCAAGTCAACTCAAAAATCACCAACTATAGGTATACACGTGTTGACGGTACAGCCCAGCGCACCTGGGGTAGAGATCCTTGCCGCCACTCCCAACGGTAGTGTGTCTTGCAAGTCAACTCAAAAATCACCAACTATAGGTATACACGTGTTGACGGTACAGCCCAGCGCACCTGGGGTAGAGATCCTTGCCGCCACTCCCAACGGTAGTGTGTCTTGCAAGTCAACTCAAAAATCACCAACTATAGGTATACACGTGTTGACGGTACAGCCCAGCGCACCTGGGGTAGAGATCCTTGCCGCCACTCCCAACGGTAGTGTGTCTTGCAAGTCAACTCAAAAAGCACCAACTATAGGTATACACGTGTTGACGGTACAGCCCAGCGCACCTGGGGTAGAGATCCTTGCCGCCACTCCCAACGGTAGTGTGTCTTGCAAGTCAACTCAAAAATCACCAACTATAGGTATACACGTGTTGACGGTACAGCCCAGCGCACCTGGGGTAGAGATCCTTGCCGCCACTCCCAACGGTAGTGTGTCTTGCAAGTCAACTCAAAAAGCACCAACTATAGGTATACACGTGTTGACGGTACAGCCCAGCGCACCTGGGGTAGAGATCCTTGCCGCCACTCCCAACGGTAGTGTGTCTTGCAAGTCAACTCAAAAATCACCAACTATAGGTATACACGTGTTGACGGTACAGCCCAGCGCACCTGGGGTAGAGATCCTTGCCGCCACTCCCAACGGTAGTGTGTCTTGCAAGTCAACTCAAAAATCACCAACTATAGGTATACACGTGTTGACGGTACAGCCCAGCGCACCTGGGGTAGAGATCCTTGCCGCCACTCCCAACGGTAGTGTGTCTTGCAAGTCAACTCAAAAATCACCAACTATAGGTATACACGTGTTGACGGTACAGCCCAGCGCACCTGGGGTAGAGATCCTTGCCGCCACTCCCAACGGTAGTGTGTCTTGCAAGTCAACTCAAAAATCACCAACTATAGGTATACACGTGTTGACGGTACAGCCCAGCGCACCTGGGGTAGAGATCCTTGCCGCCACTCCCAACGGTAGTGTGTCTTGCAAGTCAACTCAAAAATCACCAACTATAGGTATACACGTGTTGACGGTACAGCCCAGCGCACCTGGGGTAGAGATCCTTGCCGCCACTCCCAACGGTAGTGTGTCTTGCAAGTCAACTAAAAAATCACCAACTATAGGTATACACGTGTTGACGGTACAGCCCAGCGCACCTGGGGTAGAGATCCTTGCCGCCACTCCCAACGGTAGTGTGTCTTGCAAGTCAACTAAAAAATCACCAACTATAGGTATACACGTGTTGACGGTACAGCCCAGCGCACCTGGGGTAGAGATCCTTGCCGCCACTCCCAACGGTAGTGTGTCTTGCAAGTCAACTCAAAAATCACCAACTATAGGTATACACGTGTTGACGGTACAGCCCAGCGCACCTGGGGTAGAGATCCTTGCCGCCACTCCCAACGGTAGTGTGTCTTGCAAGTCAACTCAAAAATCACCAACTATAGGTATACACGTGTTGACGGTACAGCCCAGCGCACCTGGGGTAGAGATCCTTGCCGCCACTCCCAACGGTAGTGTGTCTTGCAAGTCAACTAAAAAATCACCAACTATAGGTATACACGTGTTGACGGTACAGCCCAGCGCACCTGGGGTAGAGATCCTTGCCGCCACTCCCAACGGTAGTGTGTCTTGCAAGTCAACTCAGAAATCACCAACTATAGGTATACACGTGTTGACGGTACAGCCCAGCGCACCTGGGGTAGAGATCCTTGCCGCCACTCCCAACGGTAGTGTGTCTTGCAAGTCAACTCAAAAAGCACCAACTATAGGTATACACGTGTTGACGGTACAGCCCAGCGCACCTGGGGTAGAGATCCTTGCCGCCACTCCCAACGGTAGTGTGTCTTGCAAGTCAACTAAAAAATCACCAACTATAGGTATACACGTGTTGACGGTACAGCCCAGCGCACCTGAGGTAGAGATCCTTGCCGCCACTCCCAACGGTAGTGTGTCTTGCAAGTCAACTCAAAAATCACCAACTATAGGTATACACGTGTTGACGGTACAGCCCAGCGCACCTGGGGTAGAGATCCTTGCCGCCACTCCCAACGGTAGTGTGTCTTGCAAGTCAACTCAAAAATCACCAACTATAGGTATACACGTGTTGACGGTACAGCCCAGCGCACCTGGGGTAGAGATCCTTGCCGCCACTCCCAACGGTAGTGTGTCTTGCAAGTCAATTCAAAAATCACCAACTATAGGTATACACGTGTTGACGGTACAGCCCAGCGCACCTGGGGTAGAGATCCTTGCCGCCACTCCCAACGGTAGTGTGTCTTGCAAGTCAACTCAAAAATCACCAACTATAGGTATACACGTGTTGACGGTACAGCCCAGCGCACCTGGGGTAGAGATCCTTGCCGCCACTCCCAACGGTAGTGTGTCTTGCAAGTCAACTCAAAAAGCACCAACTATAGGTATACACGTGTTGACGGTACAGCCCAGCGCACCTGGGGTAGAGATCCTTGCCGCCACTCCCAACGGTAGTGTGTCTTGCAAGTCAACTCAAAAATCACCAACTATAGGTATACACGTGTTGACGGTACAGCCCAGCGCACCTGGGGTAGAGATCTTTGCCGCCACTCCCAACGGTAGTGTGTCTTGCAAGTCAACTCAAAAATCACCAACTATAGGTATACACGTGTTGACGGTACAGCCCAGCGCACCTGGGGTAGAGATCCTTGCCGCCACTCCCAACGGTAGTGTGTCTTGCAAGTCAACTCAAAAATCACCAACTATAGGTATACACGTGTTGACGGTACAGCCCAGCGCACCTGGGGTAGAGATCCTTGCCGCCACTCCCAACGGTAGTGTGTCTTGCAAGTCAACTCAAAAATCACCAACTATAGGTATACACGTGTTGACGGTACAGCCCAGCGCACCTGGGGTAGAGATCCTTGCCGCCACTCCCAACGGTAGTGTGTCTTGCAAGTCAACTCAAAAATCACCAACTATAGGTATACACGTGTTGACGGTACAGCCCAGCGCACCTGGGGTAGAGATCCTTGCCGCCACTCCCAACGGTAGTGTGTCTTGCAAGTCAACTAAAAAATCACCAACTATAGGTATACACGTGTTGACGGTACAGCCCAGCGCACCTGGGGTAGAGATCCTTGCCGCCACTCCCAACGGTAGTGTGTCTTGCAAGTCAACTCAAAAATCACCAACTATAGGTATACACGTGTTGACGGTACAGCCCAGCGCACCTGGGGTAGAGATCCTTGCCGCCACTCCCAACGGTAGTGTGTCTTGCAAGTCAACTCAAAAATCACCAACTATAGGTATACACGTGTTGACGGTACAGCCCAGCGCACCTGGGGTAGAGATCCTTGCCGCCACTCCCAACAGTGATGTGCATGATCCCACAAGGGTCCTCCTGACCATTGTACACGCGGGTCTGAAGGGGTGGAGATACGGGGAGAAGGGATGAAGATGGAGGTGAATGAAGGGAAGGAATAAGATGAAGTTGGGCTGAAAGGAATAGACTGGACTTTGGTTGAAGGGAGGTGAATGATCACACAGCAGTCGTTACAACGGCAACATAATAAAGCCGTTACAATGGCCGTTACAACAGTCGTTACAACGGTCGTTACAATGGTCAGTTCAACTGTCATTACGAAGATCGTTATCGACGGTCGTTACAACTCACCGTTCGTTCGTACGCATGCACATGGCCGGTGATCAGCATGTCAACGCGGGCAGCATAGAGCGTCTCTTCCAGGGCCGTCCTCATGGCCTGCCCGTCTGTCTGGTGGTCGCTGTTGGAGTGATACCACGGCTCGTGCAGCGATGCTATGAGCCAGGGGGTTTTCGAGCGATCCACACTGGATAGGTCCTTCTGAAAAGGACGGTACAGAGGGACAGACATGGGTGCAGAGCGGTGATAGTGGGTATCTGTCTGGTGGTCGCTGTTGGAGTGATACCAGGGCTCGTGCAGTGATACCACCAGCCAGGGTGTTCTGGAGCGATCTACAGTTGACAAATCCTTCTGAAAAATGACGCACGCAGAGGGATACAGAAGGGTGCAGAGGGGTGAGAGTGGGTACGCATGTGGTGGTCGCTGTTGGAGTGATACCAGAGCTCGTGCAGTGATGCTATGAGCCAGGGGGTTCTGAACCAATCCACGTTCAATAAATCTCTGTGAAATGCAAAGCTCACCTGAGAATTAAGACTATTTGAGAATTCTCAGACACCCTGTTGACTTTTGAGTCGACACAAAAGTCAACCTGAGAATTCCGAGCATTTGAGAATTCTCAGACACCCTGACTGCGAAACTCACCTGCAGCTAGTCTAACTGCTTGGAGTCGGGGCTGAAAGGCGAGTAGCAGGAGAGCACCGGTGATGAGAATGATCCCCCACCTCGAACGAGTAGGACAGCTTAGAAGGCGACTCGCTGAGGGATGCTATCCTAGATGTGACTGAACGGGATGTGCTCTTGAAGAAGGCTCACCTGCAGCCATGCCCCCCTGACGGCTCACCTGCAGCCATTTGCGCTGGTCAGAGTCGGGGCCAAAGGGCGAGTAGCAGGAGAGCACGATGATATGCGCCGCCGCCACCTCAAACGAGTAGTACATACAGACAGCTCAGAAGGCGATGCAGTAGGCATTGCAGCTGTTTCTCTAGGAGTATCTCACCTGCAGCCATTCAAACTGCTTGGAGTCTGGGCCGAAGGGCGAGTAGCAGGAGAGCACGATGACACCCTGTTTGCAAGGCTCACCCTGTTTCCAACGCTCACCCTGTTTCCAACGCTCACCTGTAAGGCTCTCACCTGCATGCATCCCCTCTCACCTGCAGCCATTTGCGCTGGTCAGAGTCGGGACCGAAGGCCGAGTAGCAGGAGAGCACGATGATATGCGCCTCTCCCACCTCAAACGAGTAGTACAGCTTAGAACACGGCCCGTTGCTAAATGTGACTAAACGGGATGTGCTCTTGAAGAAAGCTCACCTGCAGCCATGCCCCCCTGACGGCTCACCTGCAGCCATTTGCGCTGGTCAGAGTCTGGGCCGAAGGGCGAGTAGCAGGAGAGCACGATGATATGTGCCCCTCCCACCTCAAACGAGTAGTACAGCTTAGAAGGCGACCCGCTAGCAGCAGAGGGCATGACCCACCGCTTCTTATACGCTAGAAACGCGCCGCTGTTTAGCAAAGCGGAACTCTTAAGAAACGCGGGCCACTCGAATCCCTTGGGGCTGATCGCACTAAGTGCCTTGGCTTCGTGGTTTCCGGGGACGACCATCCAGGGGTGTGTGCTGGCGTCTGGTTCAATCAGAGACTGCCACCTGTCCCACACGGATTGGAAGCCGTTGGCATAGGAAAGATCGCCAGGGACGAGGGTGAGGGAGTGGGGCTGCTGGGAGAGACGCGTGATGGTTGTGCGGGCTGCCTTAGAGAGACCAATGTCACCTGGAAGGGATGCAAGCAATGAGAGGGGGAAGGCAGAGTAAGGGAAGCCGTTGGTGTAGGAGAGGTCTCCCGGGACGAGGGTGAGGGTGGGGCTGCTGGGCGAGTCGGGTGATGGCTGTGCAAGCTTCTTTAGAGAGAGCAATGCCACCTGGACGGGATGCAAGGTGGGAGAGTGGAGGAATGCAGAGGAGTGAAGAGGAGGGTGAGGGAGTGGGGCTGCTGGGGAGACGGATGATGGTTGTGCGTGCTGCCTTGGACAGACCAATGTCAACTGGAAGGAGAGAAAACAACGCAAGGGAGAGGAATGGGAAGGAGGAAGAGGATGAACAAACGCTGATGCCACCACCCATCAACAACAACAGCAATGCTGACTTCAACATCCCTTATTCTCCAACCATCCTAACCGCACTGCACCTGAGGTCCTGACTCTAGAGGTGGGTGGCATCACAACCCACCCAACCCCACCCACTCCCACCCACTCCCACCCGCTCCCGCCAACTGCCACACCAGCTCTCACCAACAACAGCGATGCTGACATCAGCAGCGGCATCGGTGGGCGGCGTCACAAAGGACCGCTCTGGTCCCTCCCCTGCGATGCGGTAGTAGTAGGTGGATTGGGGTTGCAGGCCCGAAAGCACTACGCTGTGCAGCTGGTCCGACCTACACAGGAGATGAGATGGGCCAAGGGGAAGACGGAGGTTGGGATGTGAGGGTAGGGGAGTACGAAGGACCGTTGCGGCCCCTCCCCAGCGATGCGGTAGTAGTAGGTGGATTGGGGTTGGAGAATCGATAGCACTGCACTGCGCAGCTGGTCCGATCTGCACAGGTGTTGGGATGGGGGAGGGGACAAGAGAGGGAGGAATGTGAGGGGAAGGGAAGGGATTACCCGTAAGAGCTTTAGGGCCCTTCCTTTTGAGGTGAGAATGGTAGGTGGTTCCGAGAGCACTGCACTGTGCAGCTAATGGAACCTGCACAGGTGGTGGGATGGGGAAAAGGAAAAGATGGAGGGAGGAATGGGAAGGGGGGGAGAGGATTACCACACGAAAGGAATGGGAAGGGGGGGAGAGGGAGGAACGGGAGGGGAGGGGAAATAATGAAGGGAGAATATTACAAGGGATCGTTGCGATCGGTGGTGTCTCTCCCGCAAATCGATAGCAATAACAGGTGGTGGCTAGGTGGAGGGTTGGAACGTGAAGCAAGAAAAGGTGTGTCTGGTACGAAACGCATTCATGGGACGGCAAAGGGTTGACCAGGACTGGAGCACGAAAAAAGAGAAGTAAGGTGTATGAGCGAAGCAAGCAATGGGAAAGACAAGGAATAATATTTCTATTTGTGTACTTACGAATAGGTCAGGAAGGTGTAGCTGGAAGACTTCCCCTTGGCCTTATTGGTGTATTGCCCAGAAGTTACCCCGAATTCCACCAATGACGGCGTACCGCGGCGGGACGTTGACCACATGACTCTGATGCTGTTGGGACCGGCTAGAGCTATGTGCACCTAGAGAATGGGCGAGAGAAGAGAGGCGTAGGGAAGAGATAGAAACCAAATGGGGCATAGGGACGTGATAAGAGATTGACTGACTCTGATGCTGTTGCGGCCGGCTAGAGCTATGTGCACCTGGGGAATGGGCGAGACAAGAGAGGCACAGGGAAAAGACAGAAACGGGATTGAGAGTAGCGATGTGGTAAGAATTGACCGCATGACTCTGATGCTGTTAAAGAAGGTTAGGGTTATGTGACCCTGGGGAATGGGCGAGTCAAGAGCGGCACAGGGAAGAGACAGATATGCAAGATGTGATGTGGTAAGGGATTGACCACACGACTCTGATGCTGTCGCGAGAAGTTGTTTGGCTGTTTCGGAATGCGCTGAGCACAAATGCACATGTGGAGCCATGAAACACAGAGGGTTCCTGGAGAATTTAGTCTCGGGACTGCAAGCCCACCTGTCTGTCACCCACCTGTTTTGCCTTCTTAGACCCAGCCCACCAGCGGAACAGTGATCGCCTCTTCCCGATCCGCTCAGAATCATCCTCCGTCTCTGAACCTGAAGCACGCATACAATCGACGCGTGCGTCTTTTCCGCCTACTACGTTGGGATCCGACAGGGAGATATTGTGTGCTTGGCCGCCGGTGGCAGATGCAAGCGAGCTTAGGAGATTTGTACAGAGGGAGAGTGAAACGAGGAGGAGAAGCTGGGTGAACAGAGCTGAGGACGAGGTTCGGCCCGAGCCTCGTCCGAAGGCTTGGCACCTCGTTCCGCGAGCATGGTACTTGGGGTGTTGCGCTGGTGAGAGGCTAGTAGATAGTGTGACTGTACAGAGCCCAGCAAGCGTCACGCGAAGCACTGAATCTGGACGCATTGTGAGATATGCACGGGTTCTACGGGTCTAGCTACAAGCAAGAAACGGAAGGAACTAGATGCTGCAGGGTCTGCAGCTGACGCTAGTGTTGCGCAATTATTAGTTGAAAGGATTTAGTGGAGCGCTTTGAACGAATATTTCGAAAAGCTGTGGAACCAGTGATACGGGAGACGGTCGTCTTTTAATGCTCAACGTTCGTCTGGCGCTTTTGTCAAGCGAAGGGAAAAGTGTCGAGCAGTTTTGGGGTTGCGGACGTTGGAAACTGAGAGATAACTCAGCTGCAGCCTACTGGAATGAAAACTATGCGTGGCCTCGGTCCTCGGTTTATAGATCATGCTGTGTAAACAAATTAAAGCCCGCGTCCCAAATTGCGGGCCGCGAGGGTCAAGTTTTTAAAACTTGACGAAGTTGAGTGTCCAAGCTTTTGAAAGTCACGCACTTGCAATTTGGGACTTTCGAAGACAGATTCACTCACCAGGGGGAAAACCGAGGGTTGGCTGGGTCTCGCGAAAAAAACGAACCTAGACGAAATCGGAAACTCTCGCCAAAGCCCACACCAGAAAAACTCCCTCTGGTCAACTTTTAAAAGCATGAACAATTTGGGCCGCCGGCTTTAAGCAGGCTTTTGCGCGTCGCACTCAGAGTTTAAGGCTCACGGTCCTCGGAAGATCAAATCGACGAGGATACGAAAGCAACGCGCGGCTCCAAAAATGGTTTTATGTTCGCTCAGGGAGCCTAGAGCGCAGGTGGTCTCTCGGTGACTTCGATTGGTCACACACACCCGCCTCGCATCCAGTGTGGTTCATGGAGGGAGGGATAATGGAGAAACGAGAATTGCCTTGGGCTTGACTATCTCACCGTTTTCGGTGGGAGGCTGGCGGTGGGGTTGATCGTGCGAACGTTTCGTAGATGCGAAGTTTCGCCTCTGGTGTGATGGACGGCAATGGAAGGGGTTCCTGTAAGGCGAAACAAAATCCGAGACTGCGAGTAACTGGGGAGCTTTTATTTCGTCAACGCATCGCCAATCGTTTGTCGCTACTCCCCTGACGTGGTTCAAGAGTTTTAGTAGGTTTCAGTGCGGTGAAGTTGATCCTGGCAAGCAGGGGCTCAACACGTTCCAGATGTGACATTACTTCACCTTGTGACATAGCCAATCAAGCTTATACCAGAGATGCCACGCAGAAGCAAATTCCCAAGCATTTTCTAATCGTTCCCCTTGGAAAAGAGCCTGCCGAGCTACCTAGATTCTGACGCTGCTTCAATCCAGCTGCTTCAGGAGTTCCTTCCACGTCACGTCAGATTGAGCTCACAATGGAGACGGCAACCGAAGTCCTTCTGGAAGAAGTTACAAGGGGAGCGATGCGATTAGCGATTCGGTTTGACGAAATTAGGCTGGATTTAGAGGACGAAGAAAACGAGCAGAGGGTAAGGAACAATGAGAGAGTGGGAAGTGTGGAGGCAGCGATGGAAGGTTTGAGGGAGAGAGTGGTCGCTTTGGAAGCAATAAATAGGGCCAGTAGAAGTAGCATTAATGAGCGGGTGCTTAAGTTAGCTTGTGATACGGGTAAGCAGGAGAAGGATAAGGAAATAGCTGATCTGAAGGCACGATATTTGGAGGCAGAAGCGAAGAAGAAAAAAGAGTTGGCTGCTTTGACAGCACGAGTATCGCAGGCAGAGACAGTTCAGAGGAAAGAGATGGCTGCACTGGCAGCACGGATTTCGCAGGTAGAAACAGAGAAGGAAAAGGAGGCCACGGCATTGAGAGCACGATTATCGGAGGCAGAGACAGCGCTGGTACAGCAGAAGCGAGAAGTGATTCAGATTTGGGAGGTGAGAAATGCTGGTACTGTATACGAGTTTATCTGCTCAATCTCAGTACCTAATATTTCTTTTTAGTTTCATTTCAGGCTATTACATTGGCTTCTTGTCAGCAAACTACCGATGCGGATAAAAAGATCATACGTGCCACGGATACTACCAAAGTGGAACTCAGTAACCTTGAACCCTTATCTGCCATTGGCAGTTATCGCCTCGCCTGCATGACATCCCTGAAGAGCCTCAGCATTTGCGGATCTGTCAATGAAGCCGCCTTAAAATACCTTCCATCAATGCCCTGGTTGGAGGAGCTGAAGTTACAATCAACCAAAGTCGATGATTCTGTGATTTTGGGAATCAGCCATTTGCCGAATCTGCATCGGCTGAATTTGATTGAGACTGCAGTTACAGAAGTTGGGCTCGGACATTTGACATCTCTAAGCTCCCTTGAAGACCTCTTCTTCTCTCGCAGCTATAACTGCTCGTGTTCCTATGACAGTCTTACTTTCTCCTTTGCAGGACTTGCAAATCTAGGGAAGCTGACATGGCTTCAAACGTTGGATCTTGGGAATTCGTTGGTGTCAGATGGCGCACTGCCACATCTTCGGCCTTTGATGAAACTCTCTTGGCTCTGCCTCCCAGAGTACATCACTGAACAGGGACTCCAGCATCTGACATGCTTCCGGAATCTCAAGACTATCTATTTAAAATCACCGTTTGGTGACTACGGCATTGCGTGTTTGAGGGCTCTTCCCAGCCTGGAAGATGTTGGGCTTGCAGATTATTGGATGGTAGACAGAGTGAAGCCGGCTCTTCCTGGAGTGGATGTTTTCTACTTCAAGAAATAAGCTATCTGGGTTTGGCCCGTGTGTTTCAGGCGAATGCTCCCTGCTTCTAACTGCTCATTTGCTATTTAATGGGCTTTGTTGTGTACAACAAACATTTGCAACTGTTTTCCTTTCTTTCTGCAGACCATGGTAATAACAGTACCGTATAAGGATTAATAATAAGGTTGGATATTTACCACGGACCACAATGTCAAAACAGTGGTCTTATCAGTACAATTTAAGCACATCCTTGATTTTCCTATTGCAGAGAGGGCACTTGCCGCGCCGGTCCCTGACCTCTTGAGCACACGTGCGGCACAGCATGTGACCACACGGCACAAACGCTGCCTTCCTCGGCCTCTCCATGCACACACAGCACACCGCCTCCCCAGGCTCCCCTTCCTCTTCTCCACTCGCCTCAACATCCTCTCCAGCTACTGTTCCTCCTATACTCTCTCCCCCTCTTCCCCCTCTTACCGCTCCTCCCCCACGCCTACCCCTGCGCCCCTCCTCTTCCTGCTCCTCTGCTCCTCCCCTCTGTCGTTCCACCCCAACTTGCCTTCTGCTGCTGGATACCCCGCCCCCCCAAGCGTGTGTGTGGGTGAGAGCAGGGCTCTGGGTTTGCCTGGATGACACTTGAATCGGCGGGCCTCCCAGCACTGCTACCAGTGGCACTCCTGCTCCTGCTACACTGCCTGCTACAGTACCTGATGTGCTACGTGCTACATTACCCCCTACAGCACCTGCTACAGTGCCTGCTGTTCCAATGCCGATGCCACTCCCTGCCCCAGCGTTTGTTCCTGCTGCTGCCATTGCTGCCACGACACGCGCTGATGCTGGAAGCCTCATTGAGACAGCAGGACGAGAAGAATCGATACCACTAGAACCTGGAGCAGCAGCAGCAGTAGCAGAACTGCTGGTAAGCAGAGTGGATGAGGAGGAGGAGCCGAAGAGGGCTTGCTCAATCGCAGCATCAATCAGTGCCTGTTCGTCCCTGCCTCCTCCACGGCTCTGCTGCAACTGCTCGTACAGCTGGTGCTGCTGCTGGTGGGTCAGACTCTGCTGCTGGCTCTCCTCCCCTTCTCCTGCTTCTCCATCCTCGTTAATAGGTGATTCGCCACGGGTCAACAGCATGCGCTGCAGCCGAAGCAGCAGGAGACGCTGCCGCTGCTGCTGCCTCTGCTCGTGCATCCTCAACACCACCTCCCCTCGGCTGCTGCCACCAGTCACACCACTCACACCCTCACCACCAGCAGCACCACTACTCCCAACAGCACCACCACCGCTAAAGCTGTTGCTTGAATGCAACACCCCAGCGCCTGTGTGCCCATCTCTCCCCCTTCGAGCCAACGGGGAGCCCATGCGTGCTCCCGTGGGCACAGGCAAGGCGGTATTGACAGTGGTCATCTGTGTGGCACCTGAACTCACCACTCTACTGAACCGAGCAGGGCTTACCCTTTCTGGCGCAACCACTCTCGCCACCTCTGCTCCTACTCGTCCCCCCTCTGCCTCCACACTCCCTTCCTCTGCTGCCACTCTCCAACTGCCCCCCTG